GATGGTCCTTCAATTGCAGAGTACATGACTGAGTTTCCATGCTTGAAAAAACCTGCAGGATATCTCCTTGTAAGTGCATGTCATGTTATTAATAAAAAGAGCTAGATGGGAGCGCTTGGCAATTAACATTGGGTGTTTACACTCGTACGATAGGGTGGAATGACGAAGGCGACCACCAACTCGGATGATTCCAACATCGTCGACAAACGGAGCTAAACGAGCCAGCGGTTTTGACGATACCCTGATACCAGTTGATAACTCACGTAATAGGTCAGAGAAGTAGATACGTTGAGACTCTCGGATAATACTGAAAGTAGCACCGTCGAACTCAACACCACTCAGACACAGATTGGGAGGTGGTTCAGGCTCACAACGACGGCACCGGCTGATGAAACGGCGCATTATGGTGGTGACGCGAATCATGCGGTCATATGATGAAAAACGGTTAAACCATTCTTCCAAACAGTCGGGTACGTCGACTCGAGTTGTGAGAGATACTGGTAGTACCTCAGGTAAGCTGCACAATGACATGGGTGCTACAAGATTTATCCAAGTAGATGGATTGGCCCGGAGAATCGCAGGACCTTGCCAATAGAGGGATAGCTTCGTGAGTTCTGAAGGCATCACACCTCTTGACGCACAATCGGCAGGATTGTTTGCTGACTCAATATGGCTCCACTTACAATCAGGTACTATGGTGCGGATCTGATGGATACGATTGGACACATACACCTTGAATGACGTATGAGGGACCGTTAACCAGGATAGGACTATCATCGAGTCGGTCCAGCCGTAAGTCCCAACAATCTTGAGATGAGGATCCAATACTCGTTTGATGCACCCAAGCCACCGGGCGAGTAACACTGCGGCGTTCAGCTCTAGTCGTGGTATTGTTAATGGCTTCATCGGAGCAAGCTTGGTCTTAGACCCGACGAGAACGGCACGTTGACCCGATGAATCGGCTGGCAGCACATATACGACCGCGGCATATCCAAGCTGCGAAGCGTCGCAAAATCCCCAACAGATAGCATGACGATTGTCCGAACGTGCTGAAGTGACGTGACACTCGAATCATCGACAACGATGGCAGATCGGATAGAAACGAGGACCAGTCAGCATGGATGTCAGGAGGCAGTGGATCATCCCATGCCAACCCTAGTTGCCAAGTCCGCTGCATGATGCATTATGCCCAAAAAATTGTAGGGCCAAATAACCCCAACGGGTCAAATATTCTGGCCACCATTGACAGCACGCCACGTTTAGTGAATATTGGAGATGGTTGAAATCGCAACGCACAGCTGAAAAAATCATCGTTGGGGTTCCATTGCAATCCGAGTACCTTTGTTCCTCCGTCTTCGGAATCGTGGAATGGTAACGGCGTGCTTACCCGATCAGCTGCCGGCACGGATGACAAAATGTCATGAGTGTTGCTCGACCATTTTTTAAGTTCAAGCCCAGATTTTGCGAGAATACGTCGTAAGGACGATTGGAGCTCCAAAGCACCTTCAACTGAATCCGCTCCTACGCAGATGTCGTCGACGTATGTCTGGTACAGCAAGGCGTCACGGACATGATCGGCGTCGGTGCAATCGGTTTCAGCAATTGACTGAAGCACGCGTATGGCCAAGAAAGGAGCACATGTCACTCCATACGTGACGGTATTTAACTGGTATTCGACAAGCTGGTCATGTGGAGATGACCGCCACAGAATATGCTGGTACTTGCGGTACTCTGGTAGCACCTGGATTTGACGGTACATCTTGCAGATGTCCGCCGTGAACGCATGTGGGTAAATGCGAAATCGCGTTAGGACATCGATTATGTCCTGTTGTAGCTTCTTCCCTGGAAGCAGACAACTGTTCAATGACGGTCCGGCTGAACATCGCGCAGACGCGTCAAACACCACACGTATCTTGGCGTCACCATCATCTGCTTTGTAAATTGCATGATGAGGGACAAAATAATGACCGGGTGTGGGTGCGACCGACATATGGCCTAACGCCAAATAGTCGTCCATGAAATTTGCGTATAATGTCTGCAGCTGTGGATTAGACAATAGCTTCCTCTCCAGTGACTCAAAACGCTTGACTGCCATTGAACGAGAACCAGCAAATGTTGTTGGCAAAACAGGGACTCGGAACGGTAGAGGAACAGAAAAACGGCCAGATGGTAGCCGCACACATTCATTCCTGAATATGGACTCACACTTTCCTTCATCTGAAAACGCATCTGGAGCCGTTTCAGGTTCTTCAATGTCCCAGAATTTGTTCATCTGCTCCTCAATTGATATGGTCAGCGATACCGGGAGCGCATGAACTGGCTCGACGTTGGTATATGGAACAGGACCAATTAATATCCAGCCAAATACCGAATTGAATGCCGAAGGCAGAGAGGAGTCAATTTCAATTTTATGGCCATTCATAATGGTGGCGTATACGTCAGCACCCAACAGCATATCCACACTTGATGCGACGTGGAATGTAGGGTCAGCCAAGGCAAGATTTGAGAACTTATCCTTAATAGTAGAATTCAATGTTTTGTGGGGCATATCTCCGGTGATGGACGGCAATACCCAAGCCTGGATGGACAGCGATGGTTCCGGTGCAAACCGGGGCTGGACAATGCAATCAATTCGACCCATTACACTAGTAACAGGATGCCCAGCTAGAACAGTTACAGGCGCAGTCCAGCGAGTGCGTTTTAGACCAAGGCGATCCGCACATGATACCGTAACAGCACTTATTTGTGAAGCACAATCAACTAGTGCACGCATCGTCTGCCACGTGCCGGAACGGTCGCGCACGTGGACAAGCGCTGTCCCCAGCATCACTGAACATGATGTCGAAGCCGCGGGCATCTGTTGAGATGCACACAAGGATGATTTAGCTTTGGGTTCGGGAACCTTGTCCTTGGTGTTGCGTCCACCCATGTGTAACAAAGTGTGATGATTCCGAGAGCACTGCTTGCAACTTGGTTTTGACCGACATTTGTTAGACCAGTGGGAATCGCTGAAGCAGTTGAAACACAAGCTTTGATCACGCATCCATTTACTTCGTTCATCAATTGCCCACGATAAAAATTGGCTGCAGGAGTCCAAACTATGACTTGCCTTGCAACATGGACAAGATCTTTCAGGCTTCGTTGTGAGCAACGACGCAGCATGTTGATATCCAGAATGACTGGGACGACCTCCCTTACGGTTCGACGGATGAGACGACTTCGGCTGTGAACTAGCGGTTCCTGGTTTCGAATCACCAATTATTTCCAACGTTGACACTCGAGACTGAACGCACGCCAGTAGTTCATCAATAGTCGGATAGTCGCCCTGACTCGTGACGGTAGTTTCGAACAGTTCCCGAGTCGCGATTGGTAAACAGCGAAACGCCATTGAAAACAGTACGAAAGATCCCAAATCTGGAATATTTAGTGATTTTAATAGGGAGAGGCCTTCGCTGAATTTACTGACAAATGTATTCAGGTCTGTCAATGACTCTTGAGTGGACACGGGTAATTGGAACAGTTTGTCAATTAATGACATGGCGACTAGTCGTGGTCTATTAAACCGGTGTTCAATTGTTGACCAAGCCAGGTCATAGTTGTCCTCGGACATGGGTATGCCACGTATGGCATCAGAAGCCACCCCGCGCAAGCAACCAACTAAATAATACATTTTGTCCGCCTTAGGTATGGACCTTGAATCGACATTCGCGCGGAATTGATCGCGAAATGTAGGCCACTGGTGAAAATCACCTTCATATATAGGCAATGGTATTTCGGGTAAACGAGATGATGGAATGGAGGTGCACGACGATGATAAACCGGCCTGATGACCAGCGTCTTGATGCTTACCAACCCGATTATTAATATAAGACAGGTCGATGGCCTCAGCGCCAGATGGTGTGAGCTGACTGATAATGGACTTCGACGTAGTTATGAGGTTACGCACTTCCCCTGGCAATTCCGGAGAATAGTCTTCGAGCTCGCCTAACTCAATGAGATGATTTAGCACGGAATCGTCTTCTGCCCGGAACTGGATCCACAATGCATCGAGATCAACTGCTGCATGCTTGAAGTCAGAAACCAAAGCCGGATCCGATAATGCGCGTACACCGAGGGCATGGATACCTCGAATTTGTGACACGACTGTGGTTCGCTTGGTAATATCACGATCTCGCAAACGCATCACGCGTTCTTTTTCGTCTACCATTTTGACGAAATGAAATTACAACCAACTTACCCAAAACGAGATAATACCTGCCTGATAGTTATAATCACCAACAATACCTAAATATGCTGTAATAAGGGCTATAAACAATAAATATGTACGTAACAACTAGTACTACTGTAACACCCACAAGTAAATATTAATCTATATAATATAATTTACCTACTACGGTATAATACTATCACACAACAACAGACCCATATACAACGCTAACTGGACCCTAACCCAGGTCCGTCAACCACGCTCTGCTACCAAAATGTTGGCGCCGACGTAACTCCTACGATATATGGCGGTTAGCTACGACGACTCGCGTCGGTATGGGAGTGAGGTGACAATTGATCTTGCGACCTTAAATGGTAACACAAAGTTTGATGGTACAATAATAGTGTATAATAGATAGTGTAAAACAGAATAATAAGGTACATAAATAAATGTTGTACAGAGTCGCGACCGTGCAAGACGTCTCTTTGCCGGTCAACGAATAATAATAATAATTATAATTATAATCATAAAAATAATGATACGTCTTATGGACAATTACAAAATACAGAACAATAAATAATAATAATAACGATACCACGGCGGCGACAGCGGTGATAGTCGTTGATAAGACCACGATGATGATAACGTCGGCGGCGGTAGGTGACAACGCGGTGACATCAGCTGTTGTTGACGGCGGCGGCGGCGGCGACGGGACAATGACCCCACGGCGGCGGCGGCGATTATTCAAACCAACGGACAGCGTTTAAATCGCATGAATGCACGATATTATCGCAACGACACGGTATACGCACTCAAATAGGTACTA